CAGCAAATGCGGTCGCAACGGACAGTGAGCGATCACGTCCGCTAGGTGCTGATCCTAAGTCCGCTCGAGAGGAACGATTCCAAACGCAGTCCTGGGAGACCTTGCGGGAGTCAGCGAATCCCGTTTACGACACCGCCTGCGAGTACGCCGACGTCTTCCCGGATGAGATCCCCGCCGAGCTACCGGCGGATCGTGGAGTTCAGCATGAGATCGACCTCGCGCCAGGTACGACGTACTGCGTCGCCAGACAATGGCTACTTCCTCGTGATCAAGTGAAAGCGATCGATGACTTTTTCGAGGACCGCCGAAAGGCGGGTCAAGTGCGTGAGAGTACCTCTCCCCGTTCCAGTCCAACGTTCTGTGTAGAGAAAGCTACAGGGGGATGGCGTATTGTTCACGCATTCAACAAGTTGAATGACGCCACCATCCTCGCGCAGACTCCGATCCCTCGGAAGGACATGGTACTGGACTCCATGGCTGGCAGCGTCATCTACAGCGCCATCGACCTGACCGATGGATTCTATCAGATCCTGATGAGAGCATCTGATGTGCCTCTCACCGCCGTAAGTACACCGAGCGGGATGCTCTGGGAATGGATCGTGATGCCACAGGGCCTGAAGAACGCGCCTGACATTTTCAATCGCATGGTCTCCCATGTGCTTCGCCCGCTTCGAGACTTCGCGCCGAGTTACTTCGACGACATCTTCGTGCACAGCCGCGCTGAGGACAACCTCAGTGCCGTGGAAGTACATTTGAAGCACCTGAGACAGGTCTTCCAGGTGATGCGAGAGAACCAGCACTACGCAAACCTGAAGAAATGTGTCTTCTGCGCACCGGAGATTCCAGTGTTAGGATGCTACGTGAGCAAGAACGGTGTGCGCGCGAATCTCGAGAAGGTATCGTCTATCTGTGCTTGGCCAACGCCGACAAGCCCCACTGAGTTGCGTCAGTGGCTTGGCATGGCCAATTACTTGCACAAGTACACGAAGAATTACGCTGGGTTGATCCAGCCGCTGTCCTCGCTGCTGAAGAAGGACGTGATCTGGGAGTGGAAACCAGACCACCAAGCTGCATTCGACGCGGTGAAGAAGAGCTTGGCGTCTGCGCCGATCCTGAAGCTCGCTGATGACTCAAAGCCATTCCACGTCGTCTGCGACGCGAGCGATTTTTCCATCGGCTGTGCGCTGATGCAATTCGATGAATAAGGTCGAGAGCGTGTCGTAAGCTATCAGTCGCGTCAACTGAAGCCAGCCGAGAAGAACTACCCAGTCCACGACAAGGAGCTCCTGCCAATGCGGTACGCTCTGATCAAATTCAGAGTGTACTTGCTCGGTGAACAGTCGTTTGCGGCTTACACTGATCACGCATCGCTGCAGACAGCGATGAAGAGCCCTCACTTGTCGCAACGGATGGCCCGTTGGCTGTCCTTCTTCTCCGAGTACAACTTCGATGTTCACTACAAGCCGGGCAAGAATAACATTCTCGACGACGCGCTGTCTCGGCGTCCGGACTACGATCCCCGTGAAGCGCTAGGACATCAGCTGGCTGATGAGGACGACGACGAAAGTGCGGTCTGCGTGTCGTCATGCATCAACTTGACGTTGACCACGCCCACGCTTCCGCTGGGCGACGAGATTGCTACAGCGTACGATGTTGACCCTATATACGGTGCCATCATGAAGCACCAGCGTGCTCCTAGTAGTGACACGCTAAGTGCCCTGTCAAGGACCACGCGGAATAAGATCGATCGATATCGACTGGACGGCAATCTGCTCAAGTACAGCATCGACAGGTTCAATGGACCTCGAGTCGTCATCCCAAACGACGCTGATCTACGTGCGCGCATAATCCACGAGTATCATGACGCCCCGACTGGAGGACATCTCGGTCGCGAGAGGACGTACGCGGCTCTGTCGCGAGATTTCTATTGGCCGCACATGTACAAGTGGGTACGCAAGTGGGTCCGTACATGTGAAACTTGCCAGCGATTCAAACCGTCTTCGACGTCTCAAGCTCCATTGCGCCCTCTTCCAGTCGCCACGGAAGCTTGGCGCTCCATTTCGATGGACTTCACCTTCGGTCTCCTCCCCCCCCCCGATACAGCCGGGAGCACGGGTGTACTTGTGTTTGTCGATCGTTTCAGCAAGATGGTCCATCTCGTTCCGGTGGCAGCCTCAATCACCGCGGAAGAGTCCGCGGCCCACCTTGTCGACGTGATTTTGCGTCACCACGGTCTGCCGGAGTCTATCGTGTCCGACCGCGACCCGCGGTTTACATCCGCGTTCTGGTCACGCCTCTTCGATATCTTGGGAACAAATTGCTGATGTCGACTGACCAACCTCGGCGCCAACAAACTTGCTCCACGCTTCATCGGTCCTTTTCGAGTAACCAAGTCTGTGGGCGACGCCTACACCCTGGACATCCCGTCGTCACTTAAACTTCACCCGACTTTATATGTCGGGCGACTGAAGCGGTATTTCCCTGCGACGATTCCTGACCCGATCCAGCAGACGGAGCATGCGTTGGGCGACCAGCCCGACGAGCCTGACGCGTCTGCCTGGCACGATCTCCCGCCCGCTCAGCACCAATCTGAGTTTCCAACGCACGGATCGAAACAGTCTCCACCTCGACCTGAACGTACAGGGCGTACGCCGTATCATCGTGAAGGCCCACCACCGATAATTGACTCGGTGGGTGATGCGCGCTGGATTGTGGAGCGTATCTTTGACCACGAGGATCCCCACAGCTCGACCGACTAACGTAACGTCCGTAGTCGTGTCCCTCGTGCGGTTCCAACCGCGCGCCGCTATTTGGTACGTTGGCTCGGTTATCCCCCAGAGCATGATGCGTGGGAGCCCCGCGCCAAGCTTCTCCGCGACGTTCCGGACGTGGTCCACGAGTATGAAACCACGCAGCTTGAGAAGAAGAATTCCGCGGGTCACCCCGCGGAGACCGTGAACGAGATCAAGAACGGCCACGAGAACGACCCGCACGAGGAGGCGACAACGACGCCGCGCTCCGACGCGTGCAACGTCGGCGTGAGCCGCGGCGAACACTGACACAACTTGTCAGAGCAAGAATGTAAACAAGAAACCACCGGCGACATCGAACCGGTGACCAGTGGGTTGTCAATCCCGACACACTACGACGGCGCCGAAACGACTTCGATTATTAGCGGCTACACGGTGGCCAACAAGTACCTGATTCTGGTGACACCAGTGGTGACAACGTGATGCTCACTTGGGTTGCTCAAGCGGTTGACTTCCGTCGACAAGTCTCATTTCTTCGAGATGCTCGAAGCTATTCCGTTCTGGCAGCAAAACAACACTCGCGTGTGCGTGAGTGAATGCGCCTGGTGGGAATCGAACCCTGGCGTTCTGACTGGAAGCCCATGCATTGACCATTGCGCCACGAAGTCGGCTTCGTGAGGCTCCTCGTGTCCGTGATCCAAGTGCCTCCAGCTCGGAGTCTTCTAAGTCGCATGTACGCTGGGCACTTCGTCGATGTGTGTCCTGGGAGCCGAGACGCGCAGTGACGGTCCTCGCAGTACATCCAGAGCTTGTGGCGCACCTGTCGACCCTGGGCTTGCCCTTGTTACCACCGCCAGCGATGCGCTGGCGCTGCCGCCCTTCGCGCTGTCTCCGATGTCTCCGCCTTGTCGGTTTTCGAGCTTTCTTCAAATGTGTTCCGTGCGCTTATGTTGCGTAAGCGCAACTTAGAGAGGAGGGTGATGTAATGGGCCCAACTCCAATTACATAAGTAGGTAGATATTTCTTTGGTTATTAAATAAGTAGGTAAAGTGGCACACGCTACCCGTGTGTCAAGGTGTCATCATCTGATTGGTTGATACTGAGGAGCCAGACTCACTTATTGACCAGTCAGATATAGACATGTGTTTGAGTGGCTCACACGAGGCCAGGGGTAGCCGCCCTGGTCCTAAATAAATTAGAGTTGAATTGGACACAAACCTAAGACTTAGTTTTACTATTGTGAGCTTCCTCCACACTATAGTGTAAGCTAGAGGCGGTATCTCTGATCCCGTTACACTCATCCAACTCGTGCTGGACATCCCAGTAGCGGTTCAGCAAGTCGTTCTCGTTCTGGGCAGCCAGAATGCGAGTGTTAGCGACGCGGCGGCCCTCCTCCTGTTGTTGACGATGCCGAAGATACCAGCTGGACTGTTGAGCACATCATTGCCCACGAAGATCCACTTCGCGCTCCCAAACGTCATCGTGGGCGAGCCCACCATGTTCCGGCCGACCGTCGCTATCGGGTACGATGGCTCGGGTTTCCTCCCGACAAGGATACGAGGGAGCCTCGTGTCAATCTCCTTCGTGACGTTCCGAATGTGGTCCAGACGTATGAGTCCAATCTCGCTGCGAACCACCATGTGTTGCATGCCAGCTCGCACGAGGAGAACGACTCATGCGATCACGCGAACGTGATCGAGATCGATGACTTGGGCGACCACGTAAACGGGACCGAGTCCTGCGATTTGAGCGACCACACGAACGTGATCGAGAGCGACGACTTGGACGACCACGCGAACGAGATCGAGATCGGCGGCTTGAGCGGCCGCGCGAACGAGACCGAGTCCGAGGCCAAGGGTCCTTACGTGCAGAGCGTCGGCGTGAGCCGGCGCGACTAGAGGCGCCCACGTTCTCGGCCAACGAGCGACGATACTTCTCGATCCACCCGTGTTCTTGTTCACCGAGCGGATACTCGGCGATGTGACTTCTCCACTCCTTGACAGTCGGACGCGATCCAGTACAAGTACCACAGCCTTCAGCGACCCTCACGTAGCAGATGCGGCGCATGTCCTCCCATGCGCTGGTGCAGACGGGCTCACGGAGTTCCGTGAGCGAGTGCTCCTTGACGATCTCCTCGCGATACACCAACCAGCCGACGAAGCTCTCCCCTTCTTCCTGCGTCCGGTTCCAACGCCGGATGAAAGGTCACCACGACTCCTGCAATGCGCCATATGCGACACCCTCGACGGGTTACTGCCGCAGTCTGCCGAAGCGCCGGAAGTGATCCTTCATCGTGTCCAGTGTGTCCGGAGCCCGCGCTCCGGATATATCATAGAGAGCCCATGCCCGGAGCTGGTCGTCCATCACGCGCGTGCCACGTGCCGCTGCTGTCGACGACGTCGCCGTCGTCGGTGTTCCCGTCCGCTACCGATCCATCGTGTTGCATGTCACGTTCTCCGCAAGTTAAGTTATGTAATTTATGAATTTAAATTATGCCTTTTGTGACTTTGTTTTCTATGTGTGCCCGCGTGGTATCGCTTACGCCATTCAGAGACCGGTTGTCGATTTCACTCAGAAATATTGTGCTATTTTTCTTAAAGCCTTAAATTAAAGGTAAAGGTTTTGCGAGGCTTGATGGCTTTTGTTACATGTGGTGCGCTGAATGATCACCACAACTTGTGGCGCAAACTCGGCGTATCCAGCGTACCACATACAGCACAGGATACTCCCACATCAAATGACAGCGGGCTTGTTCAGGCGGATTTGCTTGGAAAGTGGCTTGATGTCCTAGCTCACACTCTGAGGACTTAAGATGTGCTTGCAACCAGTCAGCTACGACCCGGTGATTGTGCATTTCGGCGATTTCGAGTGCCGCTAGACTGTCCATATCACCGCTCTGCTCCATACCCCTCGTTGCATGCAGCCATTGTACGACGTCCAAGTGGCCGCTACTCGCCGCAGTGCGAAGAGCGCGTCCAGCACCCCCTTCGATCCTGTTGTTGTGCAGCCACTGAACCGTCTCCAAATGTCCCGCAGCAGCAGCCCAGTCCATCGCTCTTGTTGTGCATCCTTCACTTCGGTGTGTATGGAGCCACCGCACCAAGGACAAATTTCCAGCTGCGGCAGCCCAGTCCATTGCCCCTCTCGAGCATCCTTCACTGCGGTTTGTGTGAAGCCACTGCACCATTGCCCAATCGCGATTCCTGACAGCGCTATCCATGGCGTGTACGGTGCATCCTTCACTTCTGTTCTCATGAAGCCATTGCACCACGTCGAGGTGGCCACACAGGGCCGCGCCGTTCATGACAGCTGGTCCCCATTCGCATCGATCAGAATGAAATTCGGATAGCCAACGTAGCACATGCACATGGCCGCAAGTGGCAGCTAGTGATGCGGCTTCCTTCCAAAATGACTCGGTGTCGCGAGCTGCCAAGTACTTAAGACTCCTGGCAGATGATCCTTGCTTGCAGGCCTGTATGACGGCCCCCGGGCCAGAGAAGGAGTCCATGAAGGTGTCAATGCGTCGCACTACATGATCTAGCACGCTGACACCACGAAATCCAAGACATTCGCGACACACCAAGTAAGCTGCGGTCAGTACAGGGGCGGCTTCGCTACTCATCAACAATTACAAAATTGTTAGCGAATATTAGTTGTTCAATTTCCACTTCACGCTGTTTTTTACACCAAAATACATGTAATGGCCAAGTCTAATTTTTTTTTCTGCGGCGTCTTATACCACCGAATACACTAAAATCTCCTTAGATACATCGGCAACAACGACCAGGTTCTGCTGGCTCGTGGTTGTGATAGCATTGGGACTGTTGGCCAGTGCGAACTCCGTGACGACGAGCGGATTCGGTGCCATGGGGTCGATATCGATGGTGGCGTCAGGCACGTTAAACGAGAGGGCAGCTTCATAGTCCCAAACACACACTTTTGCGTCGTTGGCGGTGGACACGAGACGGCTCTCGGGGCTGAACGCAGGAAAGAGCACCTGAGAAACCATAGCATTGTGGTGCTTTAGCCGGCGCACAATTTGCTTCGATCCGAAGTTTACAACTGCAATGCTGGCATCTCCCAGTCCGGCTGCAAATGACTTGCCATTTGGTGCGAAGGCCAGCGAGTGCACCAGTGGCGGGTTAAACATTTGCTGGGTGCTCGAGCCGGCATCGTCAGCGGAAGCGCTATTGCCCAACTCATTCACACCCGTATTAAGATCGATGCTAAACTTGACTCTACCGCGAGAAAAATCCCAGCAGAGCAGCAGGCCATCCATCCCTCCAGAAACGAGGTCCCAAGGAGCGTTTGGGCGGAAGGGCGCCGTGCTGCAAATGTTGGCGTGCTGACCTCGCAGCGTCTTGAAGAGTTTATGACTATCGACATCGTACACGCAGATATCGCCCGCGTCGTCAGGAGCCGACAGGAACTTGCCGTGCTTCCCTGGGTGTCGTGAAAGCACGTTGATCTCGTCCTCATTGCCTTGGAACACCTCGCGGTCCGCGCAGTCTACAATTAGCGCCGTGTGCCGCATGTCGAACGTGAGTACCTTACTGCCTGCCGCCACGTAGATGTATGCGCTTTCTGTGCCTGCTGAGGCCTTGCCGAAGACCAGCGAGTTGACAGCACTCTCGTCCATGTTGGGCGTGCCTAGAGCTTTCTTGACGTTGAAACACTTGGTCACTCGAGTGGTGCGAATATCCCACAGCCGGCACGTGCCGTCGTCGCTACCAGACGCCAGTACATTCGGGTGTACGTCCTCCTCGCATAGCAATGTATTGACGGAGTCGCGGTGACCCCTGAACGTCAGCAGCCGAGTAGTCACTGCCATGGCCACTTTTAACTCTTTAAAAATGGTATCATGGTTAAAGCATTGGCCGTAAAAGGCAAATTGAATTTTGACCAATAAGGTACATGTGGCAGGATTTTGACCAATGAGGAGTTTATTAGCCCTAAAAAATTAATACTTGTCAGCGCACTTTGTTCTATAAGAACAAATTAACCCTTCTACACCGGCATTACGGATAATCCGGAATACAATTTATGGAGGTGTTATTATTCCGGAATCTCTGCTTCGCAAAATCTGTCATGTTATTTCCGCATATAGGTATTTGTAAACATAAACTTTGGCAGGGTAAGCATCGAACCCGTGACATGATTTTTTGCGGGAAAGGGTTTGGGTTACTGTATAAGAATCCACGAGGCCGGGAGCCGTCCATTTCAAAATCAGCGGCCACCCAGACAGACCAACACTCTCAAGATGGAGAAGCCGTTCAAGCAAATTTGGAGAGAGCTGACCAAAAAAGGCTGGAAATCCAGACGGCCGAAGGGATTGAGCGTCGACTACACCTACGTACCACCCGAGGGAGATGCAAAGGGCGTTGAAGGTGTCGACTACTTCGTTGGTACGTTACCGACTTGTATTGCTGCGTTGAAAGGGCCTAACTGTTGCTGTGTATACAAAGGTGAAGTGAGTCTACTACGCTACTGCCGAAGCCAAGGATGGCTGGAGCTACCTCCTCTACCAGCTTCAGTGCTTCCTCTCCAGACAGCAGCTTCTCTGGAAAGTGAACTACTGACTACTGTCCCCACCACAGGAGACAGATTGGTGACTAATCATGAAGCGACTATTGCTACTTCTACGGTACCCCCCCCCCAGGCCCAGACAAACCAACTGCTGCCGAGAATGATATCGCTAATTCCGGGAAGACCTCAAATGGCAAACGGAAGGCTAGCTCGACAGGAAGCAATGCATCGAGCAAGTGGCGCCGGACTGGTATGTAATCGCTGTCCTGGTCTGTCTGTTTGTTGCTAACGTATTGACGTATTACGGATTATACAGGCAGCACTGTTCCCGAGAGTAATGCTCCTGTTCCGGATAACACCGTACACACTATTCCGGATATGACTGGAGCTCTTCAGGATAATACCTCACGTGCTGTTTCGGATGGATCCGTTGATACTGCTCAATGCCCAAACGATTACTGTGAACGCCCAACTCCTGCCATTACCCTCGATGACTTTGACTCGGATGATTTCTTGGCTGCTCTTCGTCGAGACCGCCTCTCTGACAAAACCGATGATGAAGAACTCTACTTGGAGGAAGGAGACTGGTTGCTATCTCTCGACTCTGATACCGAAGGAGATGAAGATAGCATTTTGTTGGACAAGGACATGTGTGATGTCGATGACGAAGCGTCAGCCGGATCTTACGAGGCCGATGAACTGGACGATGATGTGAACTTTAATTTGGGTAAGGAAGTCTTGGATGATCTGCAACGTGCTGGATGGGACACGTACGATGAACACACAAATGGTCAGCTACGTCTCGAAGCTTCGCCGATGTATGAAGGACCCTTTGGACCTACCAAAGCTGCGCTAGCGTATGCAGATAGCCCCCTGGCAATGTTTTTCTTCTTTCTTCCTAAAGAATTGCGGAGGAAGATTGCAGAGGAGAAGAACAAGTTTCGGGATGAGTGTGTCGAAGCGGTAGCGCTGTCGATGCGTGTAATCGGATCGAATCGGATTCAATAGATTGCTGACGGTGCAAGCAGGTGATTGGTCGGAAAACGCTTCGGTTCGCACCAATAGTAAGCACTTCTTTGCCTGTCTTTAATATTTTTTTTGTAAAACAAAATATTATGATATACAACTAATCGCTTTACTCACGAAGGCTGAGGCAGAGAGACCAGCTACGTGAATACCTCGCCCACTCTGTTGCTGAGCGGCTACCACCAAGGCCGAAGTAGAGCGCTGCTTTGCCAGCAAGGAGCTGCGTACGACGTTGACTGAGACGGAGAGCATAAGGAAGCGCAGCGTTTAGAGCTTAGGCAGAAGTTGCAGGAGGAAAGCAAGCTGATGTTGGCGCAGAAAAAAATCACTGTGTTGAAGACCTTGCTCGAGCAAACCTGACGGTAGAACGAGCTGGCATGCAACTCTAAGAAAGAGGTAACCGAGCCGCGCAAGAAGATCCGTAGCTTAATAAGCGAGAAGGACAAGATGGCCCGACAGTTGGCGTCGACGCTGCATGCCGGCCAAGACCTAGCTGCAGCTAGGTCTGTTGACCAATGCCTTGAAGCGTATTGAGACAGCTTCGGGCGACACGTTGGATCTGGTCAACCGTGACGTGAAGCCCTTGCATCGTTTGAAGACGAAGCAGTTTATCGCGCAGTTGGAGCTCACGGAGATGGGGCAGGTGGCTCAAGTGCTCCAAAATGGCGACGAAATGAAGAAGCAAGCTGTGTTAGTAGCTGTTAGTGCCGGGAGAACCTGCTGGTTGAGCGTTTTCTGGACTATAACGAGCTGGAGCAATGTCCCTGGGACAGTCCCTCTACTACCGAATCCTGGACGGAGGAGTTAAACGCTGCCAAGTGGAGTCAGAAGGTGGCTTCATCACGAAGCTCTCATGCGACTACGACGAGAAGGCCAGCAAGCTGTAGCAGCAGATCGCAGAGTCATGTACCACCTGTGCGGCAAGCTTGTGGAGAAGACGCGCTTGAAGAGGAGTCGGTGGAGCTAAAGGACAAGAAGAACGACTTGCGGGATCCAGCGTGCCCAATCGAGCACACGCGTATGATTCTCAGGACCGAGGTGAATCTCCGTCTGGTGCACACGACAGAGTTTGCACCAATAAAGACAAAGCTCGAGGAACGTAACGGAGCTTAAAGGTGCCAAGTCGGCGCTTGATCAAAACGACGATCGCAGAGCTGAAGAATGAGCTGCAGGGCGAAAAGCTTTGCATCAGCGTGAAGTGGAGACTTTGACGGGTGGTATGTAGGAGGCTTGCAGCAAGATTGACGAGTGCTCAGCCCACATTCTGAACCTCGAAGAGACGAAGAATCGTCTGGAGGTGAGGCGATACTCAGATGGGGGCGAAGAGTGGCAGTGCATCTACCGAGAAGGAGGAGGGACTGAAAGTGATCAAGAGCCAGATGCTGGCTGAAATCGAGATGCCTCGTGCTAATCTTGCCGAAGTGTCGAGTAGAAACAGACGCAGCTCAGAAACACCAAAGGGCCGAGCAAGCCAACGAGCAGCGTCTGGTGTAGATGGCCATGACTCAGCAAGAGATGTAGAGCCGCTACGTTTCCCAAATCAACTCGCTCACCTTGAAGCTCAACAACGAGCGTGAGCCTTCTCGTGCTCATTTACAGGACTGGGAGACACGACCGACACTGATGTCAAACAGAGTCCAGCAAGGAGCTGTTGGTGGCATGTACTCCGAGCAGAGCGTGTTGCAGAACAATATGAATTCTTTCTTCTCGACAAGACTAAAAGGAAGTGCGTTGGATACAATCAGGGCTATGAGCTCGGAGTCAGCAGCTGCCTTGTCCAACGTACGCTGCCTCTCATACCGCTCGAATCCGAACGCAAGTAAATCCGTCTGTCGAGCACCGTTCGTACCCTCCACAGCTTCGTCATCTCCGCCCCCATATTCCTCTTTGTGCCATTTCTGTAAGTGCCGTCGAAATGTGGTGTGAGCGCAGGTGTTCCAACCTGGAGCAGTGTCGGCAGGGCATAACAGACACGAGAACGTGTGGTGAAGTGCTTTCTCAGAAATAAGAGAATGGGCCTGACGCGGGGTCACTATCCCGAATCAGTGACAATTTCAAGTGATTAGAGAGGATTTGGGTTGGCTGGCACGGATGCAAGTTGCCTGTGGTGGATTAGCCATGACGAGCAGCACCCCGTATGATTTGACGATGGGTCTGGTATGCACGAAGTACGAGAAGGCAAGATCCATCAAGACTTACCTCGGATCCACCCTTACCTGGATTCACCAAGATGGATATGGGATATACTATACAAGAGTGGATCGGGTGTGGATCCTATGAAGGAAGGATGGTCGGTGCCCTCTGAAGGTGGATCTAGTAGCCACGGCTAACGAGGAGTCAAGATCCACCGCGAGGTACCCCGGATCCCATACTTCCGAGTTCGGATCCAAGGAGGGAGGATCCCGCCTTGAGGGACCTGGATCCAGAGTATAGGGATGGTGGATGTAGTGGATCTCGAGCTTTCGTGGGACAATGAAGATCACAGACGGTTGCGAGATGATGTTGGATGATTGGAGAGCTCAGATCCACGACGACTGTACACTTACAGTGAAGTGGATCCAAGCGACCTGGATCCTGATGAGTGTACCCATAATAGGGTGACCATAATGATTACGCCATGGATCCGGTGGATCTGAAGATAATACAGCTGGGGTGATGGGTCAAGGGAAGAAGGGACAAGCAGCCGAGCCTGGTAAGGGATTTAACGAGGGAAAGACATAGAAGGTAGAGATCCAGGCAGGTATAGGCTAAAGTATCAATACAGACTTCTATTTGCACGATAACACGCAAGTGCCTTCCTGCCCTCAAGAACCGGAACTACATTGGCCGTACGAGCGCGGAGAAGGTTGGGAATTGCGAATCTAGTGTTGGTAGTGATAACTGGATAATACATTGGCCAGTGCCTACAAACTAGTAAGCTTTCCCATACACGTGCAGATCCGACGGGTTAACCGAATTTACTACTTGGTCGGTTATACCCTAGAGGCTCTCAACTCTCAAGATCCCGTCACAGGAGGCGGCAAGTACGACGCAAAGGAACGCAAAGGCAAGGGACACACCCGCAAGGCAACCCTACGACCAGATCCACGATCTAGGCCCCGGATCCATAAGCTCGAATATTCGCTTAGGATTCGGAACAATCCACGGACGCAGAGTGAAGATTTTCCACTGCTGCTCCACCCCATCCCCACGTCTCGCCAAGACACTCAAGCTTCACCACTTGAACTCTTCGGAAGTTACCGAGCGAGCAAGATCCCGCCCTACCGACGGGTACACAAG